CAATGTTCAAAAGAAAATAAGACAATCTGATTAGTGATGATTCGAAAATGCATACTGATGCAAAAGCTTTCCATTTGTCAGCAAGAAGTCGTTGGATCACTTCGCTACCAATCATATCTAAATGTTCACTGGTACTACCATTTATCACAGTCATCAACGCTGAATCATAATCTGTAATTAAAAATCAGAACTGGAAACAGTACGAATTTACTATTCAGTACCAGACCGGACCGAAGTTATAAGGAAATGAAAAAAGTTTGTCAGATGATATTACATTTCAAATCAAACAGCCTAGTTACCAAATAAATTAAGTAAAAATTGGTTCAACATGAATTTTTTTTTTTGCATAACGAATTAACCGAATATATGCATGACAAATTGGTCAAATGAATAATAGTAAAGTGCTAACTTGTTGAGCCATCGGGGCGAATAGTATCCAAAGCTGTAAGAGGATATGCACTACACGTCATATCACTGAATCTCCAAAACTCCTGAAATATCCAAACTCCCAATTCAAAACTGGAGAAGTTTAACATCATTAATTCTGTGTAACCGTGAAAGCACATACGACTTTCATCAACTCCAGCATTTCCTCAAAGATATCCTTTCGTCCAAGTTTTGTTGCAAGCGTCAATGGTGTCAGACCAGCTGCATTTACAATGTTTGGATCAGCGGGTTTCGCCCAATGCCTTACTGCATAACTGTACATTGACTATAATGCGTCAATATCATTATCCTTCTGTATCATCAAAACAGTACTGAGGAGATTTCTTAGTGCAATTTAACTTATCAATCACCTGTTGTGGTAATCGATAATACGAGAAAAAACAATGTAAAGATCACTGCAAATTCTGGAAGATGTATTTTACATTGCTATAGTTGATGACACACATATGTAGAATGGTGTTGCCGAACATATCTTGTAGATTTGGATCAGCGCCATATTGTATCAGTAAATCATAGATATCTTTATTGCCAAAACAAGCAGCAAATGCTAACGGATATTCGCCATAATAGGCATATCCTGAAACCCAAACGTTAAACAGAAAGAATTGACGCGTACTATTCGAGTAAAACTGCATAAAAACTTTTTCTATGAACTAGTCTTGAAATAATAAGTACCTTGGTAATCAGTTGATTTGCGAGATGTCTTTTGATTCTCAGGTAGAAAAAATGTCCCGCAAGCCCGGGCATTCACTTCTGCTGAGTTTTGCAGTAATAAATGAACAGTTTCATAATCATCATGAACAATTGCTAAATGTAATGCACTTTGACCTAAAATGTCGGTTAATCAGCTTTATATCAAGTCATAAAAAGCATAAATTCGTTCAGATTTCTCTATATTTTAGTAGTGGATTCGATGAGAAGTTAACTGCATAGAAGATAATTGAAAATGGACGAAAAAAGAAGCTTCTGCATGTTTTACAAGCTTGTAAATTGAAAACTAACAAGGCCAAAAAACAAATAATTGAATATATCAAGTGGAAATGAAATTTTTTAAATAACTTTGTTACCGTATGCTTACCGAACATTTCGTCGCCGAGGTAAATATCATTAGCAAGGCCTGGATAACGTGTTATTAAAATTCTAGCAATTTCACTACACATTGGTTCCTCACGATTCAGCAATAGGTGTATTATCGTCTCACCTTCCACACCACGTTTGTTCAACCTCCACTGACCAAGATGTTCACGGAATTTGCTACCAAATTGGCCAACAGAGTTTGATTCTGTTTTACCCAGCTGTACATTCTATAATTGTTTGCTTCCATTTTATATTTACGAAGAATGAGAATACAAAAAGAAACCGCCAAAAATTATACAGAACATATATGCGAAATTCAATTTATCTTAATGGAGAAACTGTAACGATACAAAAATTCCAAAAAAATCGAGAAAAAACGAAACAGAAATCAAACCAGTAATCGTTTACAAAGCGGAACGGTCCAATTACTAGAATGTGAAGATTCATGTGAAACTAATAGAGTCGGAATAACACCCACTGCGGATGAAAATCGTTTAAATCAGTTAGGCTAGGTGATTTAAGTGATTCTTATCCATAATTCTACAGTCGTCATGCGAAAATAATGCGATTTAAAAAAACCAAAAAAAAAAAAAAAAAGCATGCAGTTGTCTTTTTCCATTTTGCATAGTCTGTAAAACGAATCATTTGCGGTGATGCACCATCATCATACATCATTGAAATAAGCTTTTCGTTCGCAAACTTTAAAACTCCATCTTCACCTTCCTTTTCAAAAGCAGCCAACAGTTCACCACCTATAAGTAATCAGTCTCTTTACGAATCATTAGCATAAGACTGATTAAGGGTTTAATTAGGGATAATTAAAGATTAGTGTTTGAAACTTGATTTTTTCTTTATCTTTCAATATTTGTCAAACTAAGAGTACAAATGATTGCTTATTTGTCTAGCTAAGAATGCAATTGGAATCATATAGTGCAATCATTTGATAGTAATAAACTGTATCACATTATATCATACTCTTCGAAATCTTATAAAATCTATATCATGAAAAACAATATACAAACACAATGGTCGTCAATGAGTACACTTCATCTCAACAAGGCTTACTGTAAGCCAATAATTTATACATGCTTAATTATTTCTCATTATATCTAAATGATTACACAAAAGTAAAGAATTCTAATGGTAGAACACGGCAAATAACTTATGAAAACTTTGAAAATATTTACCACTGCGCATGCCAACCCATTTGTAAAGGTGATTCTTTTTACGTTCACGATATAAATTCGACCATTGATCGTCAGGATCTTCTTTTAAATTGTCAATATCTTCTCCTCCAGTTTGGTGCAAAATTTTGCTCTTTAGTTGTCCCATCGAATCCAAGTAAATATTATTAATTTCCAAGTAAATATTATTAATGCAGTAGAGAGAAAGAAAGAAATGATCAATTGTTTATCTTCATTGAGCGTTGTTTGTCATTTTATTGCAGTCATAAGAATATCTAAAATTATTAAGTAGACATTTTTTCCTTAAATATTATCATTAATAAAAATATAATGAATCAGACAGTCCAAGTAAAGAGCTGTTGCTGCTCTATTTGATTATTATTGTCCTAATGAAAATTATGATATGCGTTCCATAGTATTTGACAACTTCGATTTTAACGATGATAGCTTTAAGTTCGATTTATTACTCAACTGCCCCATCAAATCCAAGCAAATATTATTGTTGCAATAGAGCTATTTGGTAAAGTATAATGCAAAGAAAAGGCCATCAGTATAATACAATTATTAGGACAAACTAATATAGACATTTGTTGCACTGAAGATAATCCAACCTTTATGTTTTTGGTTTGCTTTTTTCCATTTTTAATTTCGAATTCATACAATGCATTAGCATTTATTCATTTTAACCACATTACATGACGCTTCTTGGCTAAAATTCCCAGTAAACTATAGTATTGATTGAAGCAATTATTATTAAGCTCCTGAAATGATAAATTTATACTGAATAATGATTAGTGTCCACAAACATAAATGAACAAAACGAGGACGAATTCTTGAAACTGATGGATCAGGAAGTGAATCGAAAAGCAACATACGATTGATTTGTTTACTGAAATATAAGTGATGAAATCCAGCATGACGTTATCAATAAAAATATAAAAAAGGCTGCAAAAGGTGAAAAATTTATGTGCAAAAGCAGTTAAAATAATACGCCTGTTGCCGAGGAGACCGAGCAAAAGATGCAAAAAAAGAAAGAAGCAAACATCTTTTCCAGATAAGGTTCTATCATCGACCGAGCATATTACCTTAGTCCAATTATTACATATATGTATATCTTAATTGCTCTTTCTCAGCCATCCTCACTTGACCTATTTAATTCGTACCAATATCATTGTCCTATTCAGTTCAACAAATATTCACATTTTCAAATCAATCACCTACAGTTTGCATAATTGACAGATAGAATAAAGAGTAAAATAATCGAAACGAGCCATTTCCAGAATATCTATATGCAGTAATGCCATTGTTGTGGATATTCATAGGACGTTGTGAATGGCAAGATAATTACTTTTGGCTATTTTTTCGTTAATGCGTTATTTTTATGCATCCCAAAACACGTTTCAATTATGGTTGCACTCACGTAGTCATCTGAGTGTTTGGACAATAGTGCAAGTTTGAATATCAGAAACAGAGTTCCTCTAATAACATTTCATTCTGTATGGCATAATATGACGAACTACCTTAGACGCAGACCTGAAACCCCTACGGGACATATCCAATTACAACAAATTTCTTGTGAAGAGAACATTTTACAATTACTCTTCAAATGGCATTACTCGTGCTCTTTATTTACTGAAAGTGGAGAATATTTGTTTAAATTTTATCGTAGAAAATCACTGTTAGGAAACACAGAACAATTATATTAAAAAACTTCAGGAACACGGAATTGTACGGGGAAAAAGTTTTTACCCATAAATGAACAAAGTAAAATAAAATATAGAAATTAGTTCTACGAAAGCTCATACAAAAATTAAAAAATGCATGGAATATTTGTACTAGTTGGAACTTCAACGATAATAAAAAGTCAGGAACAGTTAGTGATGAACATCGATGAATAGCACGTGGGAGTTTCCTGAAACGTAGTGTAGCACATATTTTAAGAAAAATGAAAGAAGCTAAAAGTATATTTGAAGAGGTAAACTTTTGTGGAAACCGTATGGGAAAATAAGTATTGTATTGCTAAGCACTATCAAGAATAAGGTATTACGAAACGATAGGTTAGTGATATGAACAATAAACATGGTGGAATGATAAATAACTGCTATCACATATAACTCTGATGGCCATTCACAATCTTAAATCACGAGAGAAGAAAAACCGAACGAACTTTTCGTTGTACAATATTCGCTCCTACGAATGCAGATAAATTGTCAAATCAAATCAGACCGTCGGGTTTAAGGGAACTTACTTTGGATTACAAAATACCACTGAACCACTCATAGAAATGAAATTTTAATATTGTGCTTCAAGGAAATACAGTGTTGTTTCACTTAAACATCCCAACTGAAATTTTTGCATGTCGCTGGTTACAATTTCTTTGATGTCAACAATGATATCGTTAATACGTTTCATAACCACCGGACATTTGCGATTCCAGTCATAAAGAACCTTAAAATTGAATTTTCTTTCACTCGCACAGCAAACAAACATAAAATTAAGCACAATTTGAAAGATTAAAACCTAAAAATAAGTGAGAAATCATGAGCTCTTTTCTGAAAATCGCTTTCCACAAATTATGAGCAACAAAAAATTGTAAGAATTGCAAACCACATGCGAATTAGATTCATCATAAACTGCGGCAAGTTGACCATAAGGCGTAGTCCAAAATGCATTTTTGATTACACGTGTAAGTTTTTTCGAAAGACTTCTGTATGTATGAATATGATGTACTTTCTTCTGCTCGCTGTTTAAATCCAAAGAGTACAAAACATGAGTCACTGTTTCATGTTGCTGACTAGGAGCAAATGTTAACATCACATTACCACTTTCCTGATCATAGCAAAACGAATTTATAGAACCTGAAATTGACGTGAAATTAAACTATTAAAATTAAAAATTTAAAAATATAAACATACTTTTAAAAAAGATAAAAACACTCACCTTGATCAGATATCAAAACATGTGGTTGCATATGATGATAAAGTATACATTCTTTCAACGACGTAACGAAAAGCAAAGATTTCTTCGCACAAAATTGCAAACTGATGATAGGCAAATGTCCGCTGAGGAAAGTTATGTCAAGAGGCTCAACTGCTGGGTTGTAAAGATTGAATTTCAAAACTCTACCTAAAATAGATAAGAAAGTAAAGGAAAAAATTTATACTGCATTTAGTAATTAATAAAGGGATTGCAAAAACTAAGAGGCTGCTGCAATGATAATAAAGAAAATCTCATACGGATTGAAATTCACCATTAATCAGACCAACTGCTACATCACTCTCGCTCAACCAGCAACAACACCAACCAGAAGACGGTAGAGGAATACGATGTTGGACTCTCGGATGTTCGTCAAAGCTAAAAATTAACTTTATGCCAAAAACTGATGACGGTTTCCATCGTTCACCTTGAAACTGTTACATTTGAGCAATATCATGGAGGTATAGATCATTCTGGCTGACTAGTGGAATCTTCAACGTTCTATTTGTAGATGAAAACAGTATAATTTTAAAATTACCCAGAATCTTGATTTACTTCTTTTATTTCAATCACTATAATCAACAAACCTTGTAACACATAGTGTATGATCTTCTCCAGTCGATAGCACTATGTGATAATCAAAAGGTGAAAATTTACAACATCGAGGTTTTCTGCTATGGACTGGAATTACCGTATCATCACGACCACTCGCTGTGATCTGCAGCATTGAAATAAACTGGAGCTGAACATTTAGTAAACCACTCATCGACAAACAATAATATCATACATTTACAACTTATATGTCAAGACGATATCGGAAGGATATGTAATGAAGGAAAACTATACGGAAGTTAAAAAAGCGATCAATTAATCAACAAATCTTCGATGAATTGACCTTACTCCCTGGACAGTGAAAATATTACCTAAGAGAATAAAAAAAAAAAAATCGAGAAAGTTTGTGCCACATTTTTCACATTAGCAAAAAGAAAGCAATTTAAATAAATTAATAAATGACCAATTTTAATCCATAAGGCATAAACAGATCGTTTCTAACTTTACAAGCCACTACAAAATATTCGCCATTAGCATCTAGCGATCGAGAACCTGGTTCTGATGACAAATGAAGAGTCGGGCCCGCGAGCAATGAAAAATAAGCACCTTTCATCATTTTAGCAGCAGGGGGTACTGTCGATCTAAAACTAGCATGATCCATCTGAAGCTTATTAGTGTGAATCCTGCTTTCTTATCAAATGATAACTTCACTTATCTATCAGAGAGAAAAAAAAAAAACGCCAACATCCCCTCAATTTAACCAAAAAATGGGATTTATTGATTAAGTTATAGTAAAACCTTCAAGAATGTAAGATATCAGGCAGACCTCTATAACTTCTGAAATCGATACGATATAAATAAATGGAGAGCGAATAAGTTGCCTGTTGCATCCCCAAGTTCTTGCTTCTAGCTAATTACTAGCAGTTCATTTCAGTCAAGGCCAAAACTATCAAGTCGTCACAACAGAAATTTGAATAAGAAAGCAACCTACCGCAATTTGCTTGCAAGCTTCTCTTGAACGGCTATTTTCGCCTTTAATTGCGCATTTTCAATGCTTAATCTTTCCATCTCAACCTTGTATGGGTTATGCTTTCCATCTTTTATAATTTTTTCTTTTAAACGCTGATTTTCAATACGTAAGCTATCGTTTTCGGCTCTATATACGTTATTTACCTGTTTTAAACATTCCAGTTCCGTTGTATCAAGTGCCTGTAATTTCGTTCTTGATCATCGTATGAATGCTACATATCCCTTCAATACCTAGTCATCGCACAAAGAGTGAAAAGGCAACTTTTGGTATTCTAATATGCACGCCTCAATTGCTTACTTTCTATTGCATAACAAATGAACTTTCAAACCCAAACCAAAAAATGAACTACTTCAAAAATTCAAATAAGTAGAAGTGTCTTAAGAATGTCAATTACCTTTATAGCCCGTACATATAAGCGGCGTATATCAGTAAGTCGTGCTTTAGCCTTACATTGTGGACATTTTCCAACTTTTTCGGTCCGAATCCATCTTTCAATACAGGATTGTCCGAACAGATGTCCACACTTCAAACATACAATTCTAAAAAAACCTACAGTGAATGACGATCTATTCTAGTAAAAGTAGTTTGTTTTGAGTGAAAACAGCATGCTCTAATAAACGTATTTAAAAAATCTCTGGACTAACCTATGCGAACCTGAAGCTGTATATGCTTCAAAACAAATTGAACAACTGTTCGTTTCATCATCTTCAATCCCTGTAATATACATATATGCATAGATTACTTTCACTGATTCTCACGAAATTCGGCCTCAAACTAAAAGCAGTGCAAGCTAAAATTAAGCTTTTCTCAATAGATCAATTCATAGATGGAATAAGTGTGCGTTTCACCACCGTTTGAAGTGAGACAGTGCATAATCGCAATTTTGAATTCAAAACAAATATGATCACCAACGTCACCATTATTAGAAGGTTTACGGCGACGCTTCTTAGTCACATTATCATCATCAGCCTCTTCATCACTGCTCCAGATGACACGTGCTGCTCGATAATGTGGCTGTTCAGGTCCTCGATTATAAAATAAACCAGTTTTCAAAAAATGAAAGTATGTTATTTTTTCATCAAATCCCCAGCATATAACAACTTAGATGTTTTTCTATTTACAGCCCACAGCATTTTGACTTTTTTTTCTGAACATCTTCAATATTATGTAAACGTCACTTTCATTACACAAAGTCTGAAGGGTAACTCCCTTTTCCTAAGTGCAAAACATCTTTAGGAAAAACAGCTTACATCATCCGCAGTATTTCCTGCTTCAATAAATGAATGGCTTTCCAATATGACTCGATGGTTGTTTTGTTCGTCAGACAATGTGAAACTATCATTGCTATCCTCCAAAATTACCACATCTTCGTCATAATTTCCCGGTCCAGAAGTCATTTTCTGAAGTAAAAAGCACAACATGAGAATGTTAGATATGCTATGTCAATCGGTTCAGCGATAATTTTCAGCTAGACAAATCAAGGACATGTTACAAATTTTTGACATAATTTCTACACTGGAAATAAAAAAGGCAAATAAGATTGCATTAAGACTAACGGTCCGTTCCAAAAAAAGAGAAAAAAAATGGACTACAGCAAAGTTTGAGCGAAAAAACAATGTTGCCTTGGGAATGGCCAGTTATGAAGAAAACTTCGCAACTGACCAAGACAGCATCGTCCCCTCCACTCTCTACATTCCTTCACCAGCAATTCCATGCTAAATTAGGAGTGTTCATTAACTATCTGCGTGACGATGGCAAAGATCTAAACTTCTGTTAAATGTCTAATTTACTTTTTTCCTGGATATTTTTTATAAATTCATGTGTCATAATACCAAATTACCAGCTAACAAGTAGAAAAAACAAATTACGTGCCTTGATTGAAGTTATGTAACCAATTACTGACGCAAAAACACTTCGCAGCCAAATGGCTCCAACCTCAAAACACGTAATGCCCACCTGTGTGCACACTTTACCTTTTTATTTGCCCGAGCCGCCGTTAATTTGGCGGGCTTAATATTCAAGAACGAGTTAATTTTATTCAAGCGAAGCGGTTGCTTGCAACCAAGTGTGTCTTGTCTGGTGATGCTATCTTAACGCACTTCACACACAAGCATCTGAAACACTTCACACACAAGCATCTGTCCAATTTATCTAGCAGGAACTGTGCCGATGAATAGTTTAAACTAACTGGTTGAATTTACATTATTTTAGTTTGTCTATGTAAAACATTCTTCACATTTATCGATGCCGAATAATTGCTTGGCGTTTTATAATCGTCTTGAGCGTCATTTATCGATGTTCAGAGCAAATCAAACAAGAAAGGATGTAATGTAATATTAAAAAAGTGTAATATTAGCAAACCTTTCCGTCAATCTCCTACCTATCCGTCAATCTCCTACCTATAAATGGTTATGTTTCTCACAGTACCGGATGCAGACAGCGATCCCGAAATAGTCGACAGTCTTGAACGACATGGATAGTTCAAACTTAATTTTCAGCAGTGAAAAGGCATTTTGCTTGCTTACGTTTATTATAGGGGGAAAATCTGGAAGCGTCATAATGGTACCATTTCGAGTAATGCACTAGGTGATTTTGATGCAGCTGACAGAAGGGAAGTAAATGAGGACATAGATCACAAAATTTTTTAATCGAAATGCTTTGATGAATTCTCAACAAATGGTCTTTAAATCATCGTTTTATACAACATAAACTGAGAAATCACATATACAATGTAACACAAAGAATTAACCGGGATAGTTATGTTGGCGCTTACGCGCAAATCAACCGAGTGCATGCTTGCGTACACTTAGGGTATTGACCATAGTAAAAGTCCAGGAAGTAATACTAATCAATAAATTCAGAAGCATAATATGAGTAGAAATGTGAGGAAGTGAATTGCCGGATGATTTCGCATACATTTCACCTGGAATTCAGTTAATCGTCTTTTTTTTTTCAGAGATATATACATGAATTAACAACTAGTTTCAGTAATTTCATCCAATTCAGTGATATCTAGGATTTGCGGAAATTGATCTGAACCTACGAGTGGAAACAGTTAGTCCATCAAAGTAGCTCATATATTAGTCTTTAAGCTAGCAAACTACATGGGATAGTCAATTATTAAATTTGACATTCAAAACTTGCTACTATTTCTAAAACATATGGGCAAAAATCCACTGTATGAATATTATCGTTTTGTTCGGTCATCATAGTGAAATTGTATTACTACTTACTTCTAGCGGCAGTAGTCTTATAATCCTGTAATCCCGATCCATCCTCATATTTCGCATTATTGTCTAGGATTCGCTCATCCTCTACACTTCGTAAACCAAACTGACTAATATTCTGCAACTTGATCATACAGTGTTTTATCAAGAAATACTAGATGATAGGCTGCAAGCTTGAATCCATAAGTTTACTTTTGCTTCGGTAGTCATAAATGTTGTAATATCTGCTATGGTAGCCTCCTGTCCAGTTTTCAAATCAATCATCTGACATTGTAACTTCATTTGATGCCCATTTAATGGTAATATTTGAACATAAACCGAATTTGTTCGGTTTGTCACGTGATTGTTGAGGATTGTTTGGATGGCATCATTTTCTCCAGAACTATCAGTCTGAAACGGTTTCATCTAATAATAACAATTAAAATGATCAAGAAAGATAAAAGGTGAAGAAAAAATCGTTGCTTACAGCATATTTAATAGCGAATAAACTGAAGCTATCAGAATCAATTACCTTTTGTTGGATGATGCTATTTTTACTCCCATATTCCGCATTACTGATAAAATTTTCCATTAATATAGTAGGTACCACATTCTGAATTAAAAAAAAGTTAGGCTTGCTTTTTGATATTTTCTACAAATAGGTTTGCTAATAACCTGTGGAAGAAGCTTTAATCGTTGGCATTCATTTGGTAAAATAGAGGATACAAGCAAAGTATAAGCATCACTTGATTTCATCTCTTGACTTGGAATCATTTTTATCGTATGATTCACCACTGCTGCTACTATCCTATGCTGCAATGTAAAAGAACGAAAAATTTTACGAAGTATTGAAGTTTCTTCAAGTTATTTCTAATTTTTTATTTACTTATATGAACATCACTTAATGTTAGTATCACTCAGTTTTCTTATGCAATATTTTTTCAAGTTAATTATACTATCCAATGTTCTCATATCAGTACTTTGCAGCATCATTTTCGTTTAATTTTTGACCTGAGCTTAAACACTATAAGGAACATTATTTTTTTTAAAGATATCCATGTCTCTCTCCTTCCTCTTTCTCTCTTCTCTCCTAGACATTTTTATATAATTATAAAAGTTCTGCAAAATTGACCAGTAAGGTTGAGTGACCGATTGAACATTCTTTCTCAGCCATATGCTGGGTGCAGTTGATGAAGCATGCTGATGAGCTATAGATATCAATTTTAATTAAAAAAAAAAGATTAAATAAAATGAAATTATCATTTTTCAGCAAAAAGATTTAAATATTTTAATCTGAGAATTATGGTCATAAATGTGTAACAGTGATACCTGCATAAATTGTAAAGATTGGGAATCTCGAAGAGTTTGTTTCCATTATCATCAGGTATATTTGTTACACCATTTTTCGTCTCCTTTGATGCCTTAGAAAGAGTCTCTCCCATCTTGCATTGGTTATCACAAGTGAAGTAAATAACCGTTGAATGAGCATACAGACATGGAAAAATGTCTCCAAACGCTACAGAATAGATAATCTAATAGTTAGCTTATAGACTTAATGTCACCATATTAATTATGTAAATAAAGCTTTTATGAAATCTGATCTGCGCACTGCAATGAGATAATAAGGCCTAGCTGTACTGTAATAGGTCATTTCAGTGGCTTTACGTAATAATTTAACGTTTCCATCATCTATACAAAGCCGCAAATGGTTTGAATTAGTAACACTTTAATAGTTAGATCAGCCAAACTGGACTTCTCTAAAATTTCTTTTAAAAAAATGCTTACATCATTAAGAAAAGTATAGCAATAAATATAGAACGGATAAATACTGCATGCCCGTACAGTTTATGGTTAACTAAAACATATTTTAATTAAAATAAGTTTAAGGAACCTTCCTTGCTGAAGGTGCAAAGATGATCGATGATTATTGTGGTAACATCAAGCAGTGCGTCTTTGCAACTTGTATTATGATGAAGGCATCGCTGGAATATATCAAAATGGCTGAAACAGTATTGAAAATTTTTAGAATGAAAACAATAAGAATTAATCACATAATATTTCCTCGTTTCCCACGTCCGTTGCGTGCAATTCATATTAACAATGCATATTCTATCATAATAATTATTATTTTCGAAAATTCAAATATTTGGATATTTTTTATCAGCAATTAACCTACCTACAGATATTACCAATTTCATCAAAAGAACGTTGTCCAGCAAACGGTTGTTCTAACATACTAACAACCTCATCCAAACAAACTTGTAAGCAGTCTGATGGTTGTAAACTTTCTAAAAAGTTGAATGGGTCGAAACCATTCATATAAGCGCCTGAATGTAAAACTTTCCTTTATAATTTGATTATGTTGCTTTTAACTTTAAATTGAAGCTTCATGATTCAGGAAGTTTTCTCATTTCCTGTGTGAATTAACTTATGACAAAGATTTTTTGGTGAATAATCAGAAAGAATAAAAATAGATGATCTTAGATGCATGATTTAATCCAAATATATATTTAATTAAAGGAATCAAAAATGCTAACCGTGAAGTAAATTTTTCACCAGTTCGCTTTTCGCCAAATAATTCCCTTTCAAAGTATTACTCTCTGTAGGCACCATTACATGTGAAGGTTGTAGTTTTTTCGTTCCATCATTTTTTCTATCATTTTGGATGAAAAAAGTGTTTGATATTGCCATGTTAATAGATGATAAAATAATCAGTGATAAGAGTACCGTAATGTGATGCATATTTCTTGTTCAATCTAAAATGTTCATTAATATGTACTTTTCAACTTATCAATGTCGGAAGAATGTCGGACTTATTTGGACACTAAATTGCTTGCAAAAAAAAATGAGTTTTATAAACTAAACTTTTAAGCATTTTGATCAAACAAAATTTCAGACAAAATTAATTCTCACAAATCTTAAAAAACTTTTGGAAAATGTATTAATTCAAGTAAGAAGCAATAAACTATGAATTTGGTCCTATGTTGAATGACTAGAATGGAACAATAATAGATTTATAAGGGATGGTCAAGTTTGGTCATGCCCGATTATTTATTTATATATATATATATGTAAATCAGAAGTAATAGTAACAACGATCGCAGCATGGATTATCTGGTTCAATGAGTATTGCTGAATTATTTATTTCAAATTACTAAAATTGAAATTGAGTTATTGACATTACCAATGAAACTTTTAACTCGTGTAAAATATCTGATAAAGGAGTAATTATTTTATTTTTTATATTCGTTTAGTGCAATTGTTATCAGAAATATTTTGAATTGCTAAATGCTTCTTTCGTATAAATAGTTAATAATCGATTCCTGAAAAATGTTGATAAATATCATAATTGATACTAAGAAGTTGTTCAGTAATAAGAGATCTTTGGTGAATAAAAAAAAGTTCTGAAAATCCTTCTAGTGTATCAGAAATTATTAAAAATAAAGTAATATCTCATTCAGTATTCATTTCTAAATAGTATAATGATTAGTCAGGTAATTATCCTTTTTTTTTGGTAACAGATTGCATTTTCTGATTTTTGAAATGTATCAATTTATAACGATGATATTTTACCATTATAAGGTTGAAGTCCATTTTTTGTTCCCATTTAATAATTGACTTCTGTTAATTTCGAAAAGAGATTCCTAAATTTTTATTCCATCCAGAATTTTTTTTCATATTTTTTAAGTTATAATTGCATTAAGTACAAAAAGAAACTTTAGTTTGGTAGTCCATATTATCCTAAACGTTTTTCAGGTGAAACTTGACTGGATAATGACAAGTTCGAAACAGATCTCACTAATGTAACGTCGCGGATGGACATTCATAACGACATTTTGTAAAATTTCAGGTTTTTAAATTGAGACTTCAGGGCAAACTTATATAATATTGTGTCATAACATCAATGTATTAATTTATTGCAAGATTACTTGAATGATTAGATAATTTAAATAATATATTTTGAATATAAAGTGCAAATAAGTGAATCTAAATGAATACAACAGATATATAGATATATTTTGTAATAATTGATAAGTGAATGATAATGACAAGAAATATTGTCAAGTTTGAATTAAAAGTGAGCAAATTATTATATTAATGATGTCTATTAGAAAATGTTAAATTTAATGATACATAATTAAGTTGATCGTATTACATTCAGGAATGCATGTGAAACACCGAATATGTCAACAAGACAGAAAACGCTCATTAGCAGAAGAGTTTACATTTAATTTTGATTTTTTAATTTTACAAAAATTACTAAGCATTTTATTCAGCTATCCATTTTATAGGCTCAATAAAAAAATCATTCATTGATTAAAATTCGAAAGTATATTCAATCGACAAACTTTCCAAACAACAATATGGATCGAGGTAATAATCATCCAGCTAAACAATTGGCCAATTATAAGTTAGCCAACACCTACACTTTTTTTGGTACTATTCACATTAAGGTATTGTTTTATTGGAAATTAAATCAAATTTTGATGCAAAAAGTTTCCATTTTTTGGTTTATTCACTATGTAAGGCGTTAACTAATTGCACTTTAATTTGACAATATTTCACATTCAAATGTAATAGAGTTGTTCAAATGTAGCAGCTTGAAGCTAAAAACTTGAGACTACCACTGTCTCATAACTTTTAACCTTTTTACTTCATATTTACTTGATTACATATGATATCATTCATTCGTGTCTAATTAAGTCAGACTTACAACTTTATGCTGCAATATTATTTAAGTCGGTTTCGAATGTGTATTTATAAATTTCCAATGATTAAAATTAAATAACAAATTTTCAGACATCAGCAACAGTGTTAATTTTATTTTACATGCTTTCATTAGCTGTTGCTGACTTGACAATTGATGTGACAACGATTGATTCATCGTCTTCTGTATATACAACTACCGCAAGTACAATAGCACTATTGGTAATATTATTAGCACAATATGGAATTTGGAAAGAATCGTCCTTGTGTTTATTACCATTGATATTTATTCAGGTCAGTAATTCCGATATCCATTGAAAATATTACCTTTCATAAAAGCATATTATGTGAAACAACATTCAAATAAAATGATGCATAGTTGAAATTTTAATAAAATATTTTTAAGTTTTCATCTATATTTCAATTCTTTTCAACTAATCCTTAAATTTGTTATTTTAGGTAGTGTTAAGCGCAATGATGATATTAGCATTTGCTTTTTCGTGTTTCATTGAATTTTATTGCTTTCTTATTGAAGCTTGTAGAGGCGGTAATGTTTTTTTTTTTTGTAAAATTTTGAATAATTATTATTAGGGTAATAATTCATCACCTCTTCTAAGATCATTTACTTTAACTTCTGTTAAATTACCAATCTTTTTTTAATCAACTCTTTTTTTCCTTTATCATCCATATGTATAATTAGCATTACTTCACCCTACTAATTTAAACTAATATTACAATAAATGAAAAAGAATATTTTAGCCAATTTAGCCACTGGAAAATTAAACTTTGAATTATACTTACTCTCATTGTATTTTCAACATTTCAGACCGTTTTCTCATGGTTGGTATGGGAAGTGCTATATTTTGTGTGTCGCACTGTTATTGTATTGTAATCATATGGCTCTGTTGGAAATATTTTCGCTATATAGAAAAAGTAAGTTTTATAAAAACATTTACTGGGTCAATTCCTGTTTTTTTAAACGATATTATTTTTTTGCTACCCAAACATTTATTTAATCCACTTTCAACTTTTCCACCATAATATGTTCTTATCATATTGATAACCTAATTTTCCTTCTAGAAAGCAGAATTAAAACAAACATGGCATATTGAAACAATTGATGATGACATTGATGAAAATGTTCTGATTGATAATATACCACTTAATGCAAATTTTACTTAGTGTTAATTAATTGATCGACAGTTCTATTTCTTTGTGCATCATTAATATTAATTGTAAATTATTATTGGCAAATTTGCAGTTCTTGTTCTACATATCTCATTAATGTAAATTTTAAAAAGCAATCTTCTCCACTCCAAAATTCCTTCGCTTTAGTCATAAAGCGCTTCAATAATCCCGAAATAAAAATCTGATTCTTGTGTAACATTCATAAATTATCGACACATTTTTCCCTTCAACATCTCTATATATCTTTTCTGTCCTATTGTTCTATTCGTTTTTGTCAACTTTACAGTATTTCTACCTCTTACTCTTTTTATTTTATTGAAGGTTATATTTAAAAATAATTTTGTAAAAAAAAAAAAACAATAAATTGGAAAATTTTACTATTTCAGAAACAACTATACCATATAGATCAGTTGTCCTGTCAGACTGTCACAGTACACTTGAGCATTTATGAAATACAAAATATACATCTACTTTCGATCCACAGTTCCCAGTTCAATAAGATTCATTCCTAAAAGAGAGTCAAACTTCTGCGTAGATGAAATACAAGCGGAAAATCTAAATATAATCACCAGAAATTTGAGGAGCGGTATATCATTTTGTAAGAAAGTTCTATTTCAATTATCTTATAGCAGGTTTTACTTTTAATTCAACTTTCCCAGTACAAAACTGTAATTTCAATTGTAAAAGTGCTGCGCTTATTTTTGTACCAATTCAATTAGTGTTTGAAGAACATATATACTGAGCAACATATAACTATTTTTAATGCTTGTAAGGAATCTCGTTTACCAAGTAAAAAAATAACAAATTCTTCTACACACAATTAAGTGCTGATAATAAACCACTCTATGTAAAATATAGCAGCAATTGAAATTCCATTGAAAAATTATTTAAGCATATAAAAAATATGTAATGAATATAAACGTTAATACTTAACGTATGTTTTTCCATTCAACAAAATTTTCATTATTTTCTGCATCAAAGCGAGTTTGAGTAATACCTTACCATGACATACTTATTGATTATTATATCATAACAATTATGTGCAATTTTCATAATTCATTCTCGTTTTCTTTTTTTTTTCCACTCATGTAATATACTAAATTGTTGTTGACATCATTCTTCCAATATCTAATTATTTTTGTTTAAAATATTCTATCTTTATAACATAATGAAAGAAATCTCGTTTACCAAATAAAAAAATAACAAATTCTTCTGCACACAATTAAGTACTGATAATAAATCACTCTATGTAAAATATTGCAACAATTGAATAATGTTTGGCTAAATGAAAACAATTCAAAGCAGGTGTTAAAAATTGTGGGAAGTCGAAGAAAGTATCAAATAATGATTAACTGATTCATGATCAATTGCTGTTGGCGTTATCTTTCTCAATCGTTTCGCATTGTTCCTTTTCAGATAAATAATTACAGTAGCAACAGCTAATGAATAATAGTAAGACCTGTAATCATTTAATTATTCAGCTTTGTGCTGATAATTTGATTTAATTTATTAGCACATTACTTATTTTGATTGGTGATAAAAGTCTTAAAAGCAAAAAGGACTAAACAAAAAAGCTCGCAGTGTCATTTGTCAAAAATCCTATTTAAAACCATTCATTACTAGTTGTGCATTTATGTTACTTAGGAAATTTTTCCTTTTTTTTTGAAATGTTTGTAATTTAATGCACTGATTAATAAGCTGTATTCCTCATACATGAAATTGATGAGTAGAAATGGAAGAAAGGATAAGTTCAGACAATTACTTTATTTATTGAAAATAAATGATTCACCTGAAATGAAAAAAATACCAATAGTGATATGAAAATGATTCGTTCAACTTGACTGAACAACACTAAATGATTACTACAAATAGCATCGCTACCGCAATCACCGCTAAAGCTTTCCTCTGATCCAGAACGCCACTGAGATATTAGGGTTGCATGTATCTAAAATGTTTTAAAAAAATTTTAATTATATAAGAAAAATTAAAATATTCAAAAAAAAAAAAAAAAAAAAATTATACTGCAGGCTTTTTAATAGCCTAAAATCGGTTATCATTCAAAGGCTAGAATTCCTACAAGAGACAAAGAAACAACAACTGTCAGTCAAATTATTTCACTGAATTAGCTATAAAAGGAACAGTCAACCAACGATTTCAGAATTCAAAATTCAATGAAGTTTTTCTTATTTTAATTTTATTCCTAATGTTGAAAATTTATCGAAAATTTACCTTATGTTGATTGGCAAGAGCGAAAGCTGACAGACTAAGCTGAACAAATATTTGTACCAGCAACATCACTATGTACTGAAAATGAAACAATTATTTGGATAGTGTAAAATTATGCTTAGATTGAACAAAATTTAAATTATATAAGATTTAAATAGTATTTGATTGCAAATTTTGTAATCCATTTTTCACTGACGTACTATCTATATTCTCTCTCTTCCATTATAAACAAAATTTCTCGGACTTCAAAAGTTAAAAATGCTCTTAATGTTAGTGAAAAAAGTGTGATAGCATAATGAGTACAGGATTTGCCGATCTTGCGTTATTTATCTGCTTTTAGTTTTTATCAATATGAGTGAAAAATAGATGGAATGGAATATATTGCTAAATTATCATAAAAATTAGTCAGTTTTCTCTAATTGATTGCATGTTAGATAAAACTTAACAACCGTTTAGCAATTCATCAAAAACATTCGCGTTGCTTATCGTTAATACCGAAATTATGTTGAATTGATTTTAGATTTTAAAGAAATCAGATTTTAGATTTGAAGCAAGAAAAAAAATTGTTTATAGATATGCTGTAAATGTTAGAAATTAATTACAGATGACCTCTACCAATGTAGTATTAATAGGAAATTGGAAGAAATTTAGTCAATATACATATCAATTTATTTCACTGAAATACATATCAATAATGACTAATTTCCTTTTATTGGATATTTTTATAAAGAAATTAATTTTTCAGGTTTTCCATTAATTCCTTGCCATATCAATAACTCATTCAGTGAACTCAGAAAATTACACTTACCAGAAACATACAAAATGAGCTACACAATATCAATGATACAATTCCGAGTACCGATAATAAAAATATTGAAATACTCGTTGCGCCAACAAAAAACACGGCAAGTGAATACTAAAATGTGTGCCATTTATAATTTAGTTGTTGCTTATGGATGTATTTAAAAAGAAGTATTTCAGATACATTAATAGCTCTAAAAATCAATTTTTCATATTTTGAAATGTATAGAATTTTACATGATGTTCACTTCATCCTATCGATAAACATACCTGATGATGATCCGCAACAGGATTAGGAGAAATTCCCGCGATTGGAGGTGAAAACCATGAGAATACAGCAATCAATAATGAAAAAATCGAAATTAACTGTAATGAATATGTTTATAAAAAGTATTCGAAGAAGTCTAGAATGTTTTTCTCTCTTTCCATTGATTTTGAGAGAGAGAAAAAAGAAAGAAAGGGAATGAAATTTTAGGAATACTTGCTTATAACGATCGCTCTAATAATCGATTGAACTGATATCAATGTTAAAAAAGGAAAAAAAAAATTAAGTTGAAATTCCCCACAGACGATGATGACCAGCAGTTGATGGTTGCCTTATCAATTAGACATCATTCAAAGAGTAGTTAACCATCTCTAATGCTTCTTCATCCAACTAAACTATACGATGTCTGGACATTTAAAATTACTTAAGCTCTTATTTAATACCAAAATTAAAAAACTTAAGAGAAAAAAAAAAAAAAACTTGGAGTAATTTAATAAGCATTAATATATTTGATGTGACAAGTTTGTAACTGCCAAAATATGCATATTGACAATCATATTAGTATCTTTCTCAAATTCTCTCTTTTCATGCTTATTTGAATGTATTTGCTCAAATTTTCATAATGAAATAAAATAAATTAAATAAAGAAGCAAGGGAGAGAAAGAAAAATAGAGAGCTTTCATTTATTTTCTAGAAATGGAGAAAAAGAAAAATAATAATGAATAAATTCACATGTGATTGATGGAAATGATTGATGGAATCACTGAATTTAGTGATTGTTAAATCAATAAGAAAATAAAATACGTCATATTTTGTAAACAGCAAAAAAAATTGGTATGATTGGCCGAAATTTTTTTTTCTTTTTCAGGATAAATAATATAATATTAACTTACCGCAAATATGGAATTGAATGTGAGCGCAGTAATTTTCAATTGTTGGATGAAGAAAGTAGGGAGCATAGAGAGGAAGAAAGAAAGAGGTTGAAGGAAAGAGAGAGAGAGAGGGAGGATAGGAGGGAAAGGTATAAGCTGATACGATTCTTCCTGTGATAATAAATAAATGAATTAGTTCATCAAATACAATTCGTCTTGTAATTTGATTAAGAAGTTTACGAAAAACTTGCGAAGCGAATGATCAACAACTCTTGCAGTAGTGAACATTATTCTCAACATCTGCACCATGTGCTTATGTTTGTATGTGTATATATATATATATATATATATATATATATATACGCGTGTATGTATGTATTACATGTATGGCAGCTACATCTTGTACACTCGTATTCGGTATGAGTAAATTTCTGTGAGCATTCTAAATATTACATTCTTCACTTCTGATACAGCTGGACTGAATCATCGAAAAGAAAAAAAAGTGATACATAACTGAAAAATTGCTTTGACTTTCAATAATACATCCTTGCACCTGTTAGAACACCACTGTTTCGATTCCCTCTTTAAAGTGATAATTCTATTCTCAATGCAGTTGAATTTGATAGTTCTGTTTCCTTTTTCTTAAAACACAAAAAACAAGTTTTCACAGCTGCACTTACTCATTAGCAACTTCCCTATGAAAGTGACTTTAAACGAAAGATAGAAAAGAGGAATTTGTTATTAAGTCTATTAGATAAATTAAACGTGGTAGTATTAGTTTGCAATATGTGACACACAGCAAATGTCGGGAAGATGCGCCATTACGGTCGCAAAAAAAAAAGACTTATTTTATATGAAGCTATTATATGAAATTATTATATTCTATTAAAATACGAAACAATACCAAAAATACAACTATTCAGATAGGAAATTTACTAATTCCACAAAAGCAACAATATATTATGCATATTATGCACATCAAATCGCTACATTAGAGAGATTAATGCTTAATAACTTGAAAAACATGAAGTTTACATCTATGGTGCTTCCAACTATGACACTTGAATAAAGTTTTAGACAAATAAATTAGATTCATAAAGTTTTAGATCAGCAGATAAATGTGGTAATGAATTCTATGTACAAACAAAATCGATATCTCGTAATTTATGCAAGACACTGACATTTTGTAACTATCACTGAAACTAAACTGTCCAGTCATCCGTACCCTTCAGCAATGACTGACTGTCAGATATCATATCTGTCCAGTCATCTCCTTGAAACTTTGAGACTTTTATTAATCACCAGTCCTTACAAAATATAACATGATAAACTGACAAGAACTACAAGAGATTATTTATAAAAGTTTAAATATTGTGTTTTTTTTTTTTTCCTGTTTCTTTATATAAAAAGTCATGCTGTATCTCTTATTTGGTACCTGATTAAAGTATAGAAAAAGAACTATGTAAATCTGTCTAGGAATTCACTTTCAACATATAACATAATCCAATGCATCCATATTGATTTCACAACAATCTGAATTTAAAAAGCAATGGAAATTGTCAAAGGCATTAATCTTCCATACTGTCACCAAATTTACTTAATGAACTGTTGCAGCCATCAATAAACGATATGTCGACAAGTTGGAGAGGTTGACTGGGAAGCTGTGCATAAAATCCTGGCCCTAGTAAAGCCTCAACATCGCTTTCAAAACTGCTTGACAATACCGATATTACTTCTTCATTATTATAATTCTCATTCCTGCAAACAGCATCAACTTAACAAAGAAGAAATTCATATTAAAATTCCACCGGTACATAGCATGGTAAAGGAAATAAATATAAATGAACACTTTAAAAGAAAAAAAAGATTTATATGCATGGTAACGCTTAGATCTGAAATTCTCAAACTTCACATCTATCTTACATCTCCTGCCACCTTCAATTCATAACCATTTTATATATCTTACATGTGTCACCATCTTGCAATTATTCGAGTGATTGTGCACCCGTCTCTCAAATATTAAAATTAATATTACAAATTAAAAATACATTAACGGACATTTCCGCAGACTGAGTTCGAGCAATTATCTCTCCGGGGGACCAATCCAATTTAGTTTGTGTTGAGAATGACAGTAATGGGCTATCTCTACCAGTTTGACATCCAGATCTTCTGCAAAAATTGATCTAATATTTCAAGAAATATGAATTAAAAACAGAATTCATTTTAAATAAGTAAACTATATACAAAGTATCAAAAACGATTTATCAGTACTATATTTAAAACAAAACAAAACGTTTGTTACCCGCCAGTTTTTGCAACCATGACGATTTCGGACTGAATGTAGCCCGTTGGAGACAAAGATTTCTGCCGTTCTTCAGTTTCAAAATATCGCAACATGTCTTCCTTGTCGATATCCGGATATAGATACCTGCATGTGATATTACTAAGTAGGATACCTATAATTTTTAACAATTTTAGTCAAATGTTTATAATACTCAACTGATGTCAGAAAGTTAGATACCTGACCTGCTTTAGAAAGCGATTCTTAATATTGACATTAATAAAATACAAAAGACAAGAAAATTTCTGCAGAAAAAGATTTGGTTATCAAAATAATTACTTGATATCTTTTAATTGTGGGCACGATGCAATACGCTGAGCTAGAGAAAATTGATCGAGATCTTTTATAGAGAATGGTGAAAGATGAAAAGGCACTGTAAGAGACAAAAATTATTTGAATTAATATTTATAAAGAATAATTTCGTGAGGAAAACGGATGTGACCACAGAGTCCACCATATAACATTTAATTCAGGCATGAAGATAAAAATGGAATTACCTTTACCACCTTCATCATCGCAGACAAAACCAATACTAACAGCACCAGTTTGAGTATCACTAAAACGCAGAAGAAATGTAGGATGGGGAGTTCTGACCATTTGTGACGATGCATCTTGTTTACTTATAAAACCGATTAGCCACCCTGGAATATGACAAATAAAAACTTTCAAATCCTAAATCAGAATAGAGAGTTATATTAGTTATTCGATAGTAATACATGGACATGAAAGTTAAAAAAAAGTCGAGAACAAACCTTCATCCCAAAACTTCAAAAGTTTATGCTTGATAAGTTGCATAATAGCGAAAAACCATTCCCAAAACGAGAAATTAACGTCATCCCGCAAATTTTGCTAAATGTAAGACATAACGATTTCTACACGATGAAATTAGTCCATTACAAAATCTAATTACAATATCTCATCACAGAATAAAACCAATCAAGTGCTAAACCAACAATTTTGATAATGCAACTGGTTCTACATAGACAGAAGATAAAGCTGCATGTCGAAATTATGCCAACCTTCGCAAACCGATGCAAGGTTATTAGTTTTCTTTCTTCATCGGCAGAAACCTTTAATTTCTCAGCCATGTAACAAAGATCTGAATCGCTGATTGCTCGCTCTGCACCAGTTGAAATCGCAAATTTATGACGAAGTACTTGACCAAGTTCTTTCCACGATACAGAAACTATTTCCGGCGACAAAGTCGTACGATTCTGAAACCAGACATTTATGATGATTAGTATCTGTAGTTATAAAAAATACTAATGATGACGAAGAACTATTATATTACGAACCACATCAGAAAAAGCCCTCTGCCAAAGTATGGCTCCCTGTGCATCACAATCTTGACTTCCATGTACTGTAACCATAATTGGTAATGACAATGTCCAAACATCGAACTTCCCAAGATTGCCAAGTTGAAATGGGGTTATATGAAAAATTAATGCATATTTCTGGTCAATAGCCGTCTGTGAATTCACTATCACTTTGCAGTCCCCTTGTCCACCTTTTGGTGGCGGTTTTCGATGCGCAATACGCGTCAGCTTCTATAAATCCATCACGAGGGCGATCAAAATTGTAACACAGTAGCTTCATTAACACTATATTCTACTTCACAACAAGAAGATTCATGAAATCATTATCGTCTGCTCTGTACCAATAACTACAAAAAAAAAAAAAAAACCACCAACAGGACATGCGCTTCAAGGAATAATCAAGCAATTACATAGAAATTGTGAACAACCTGTATGTCTGCATGGAACAGATTGAATATCACAAAAACTGAACTCACAGAATTGCTAAATTTTGCAGACATGTGTCCTTTATCGTCAGTAGTTATTTTTTCGAAATCGTTACTTATGGAACCAACGGTTTTACTGAAAACACAGGATTTACTGAAATTGAATATCAGAAAAACTGAACTCAGAGAATTGTAAACTGGATCATCTTTTCTCACTCATAATTAACTTACACGTTTTTTTCGGACAGCTGTGCAGTACTAAGCAACCGAGCTTCTTCCTCAGCAATGATCCGAACAGTGACATTAGTATTGACAAGATGCTGTTTGATGCCCAATTTGTCGCCAATAAGAAGTCTCACTTCAGCAAGAAATTTATGCTGCGTTTTCAAAACTGGTTCAGGTTGGATTGCAACAATAAAACTTTGAGAAACCAACATACACAATAACTTCGTTAGATTATCCAGTATCGAATTCAAATTTGTAGTCTGTGCCACATGACCACTTATTTGTGGACCTAAAGAAGTCCTTAAATTAAAATCTGTTAATTCCCTATACATGAAAAAATGAACTTCAGAATGCCTGAACCAGGATTTTTTCGCCATCACCTTTAGCATGTATGAAGACTTACCTTCGAGAATGCAGACATTCTTTACTCTAAGAAAATTTTTTACTCCAATATGTGAAACGAAGTGAAAAACCATATAACGATAAAGTTAAGCAATGAAAACAAGCAAAAATCAGTTTTCCTCTTAAGAAAAAAAGAAAAAAAAAGCCGACCTCGCCGAAGCAAATCCATCTGCCAGCACGCGTATGTTCTCAGCTGCCAGTTCTGTTCCGCTAACATTTCGAATCTTCAAAAGGAAATATGTTTACGACATGAAATAACTCGCTACAAATAACAGAAACATCGACAACTGGGACAATGGAAAACTTAACAACATAAAACTAATATTCCATGTGCAGCCTACTAGCTAAATTTAGGTACTGGAGACAGAGAAATGCCGCAGAAATAGCACGCATCACTACTGCGAATAACGATCGAGCAGTTCGAGGTCTCAAACTTCATTTTTCATTTTAGCACACAGTGAATTATATTCAATAACACTAAAGTAACGAGTATTCAGAACATGAAAAAACTATACGCTACGTTAAAGAGGAATAAGTAACTTCAAACAAGCCAGTAGAGAAAGGAATGCTAACTCTGTTTGTATTTCATCAATCATACAATCGCGTTCTTCAAACGGCACACCAACTTGCTGAAGCTTTTGTCTGTTTTTCCAATCATACAGATAATCACTAATGAGCTGATTTTGTAACAATGCGACATTATGCACACCTTCATTCAGCTTCTGCGTCAGATTACATCTTTTCTCCATAAGTGCATTGTACAGCTGGCTTGCCCGCTTCTGCATATCACTCACTGATATCCGCGCCTGTGACAATTTGTCATCCCTATAACAATTTGACCGATTCATCCAATATGACAAAGCAATTTCGGCCATAATTAAATACCGCAAAAAAATGGTCATAACTGAAGGACGATTAAGATAAGGTGTAATAACATAAAGTGTCTGTTTACGTCGGTAACTATTCTTTTTATTCTTTTCTTCTCTGCTTACCGCACTATGTAAACTCACACGTGGCAAGTTTAGAAGAAAAGTTACGAGAAAGATGAAATATAAAGTAAGATAGTATGAAAAACGCTTTTTATCTCGACTACCTCCCTGTTTGTTTCATGTACCATGATATCCTTATGCAACATGCATTTAGCAGAAGCTGCGAAAATCTCGAAATCAAAAACAATATATTAGTTGCTTACTGGTGATCATGTTCAAGCTTGCTCACAGCAAATTGCATTCGATGTAATTCTGTCAAATCATTCACGAAACGACCCTGCATATCCTTGTTCTCTTCCCAAAGCGTGTGACATTCCTTTGTCAAATCAAGCAACGCTGTTTTGATTTCACCATAGCATAACATTAGATTTAATTAACTGAAACATTCTCAGATTAACTGACATAATTGAGTTTTCACCAACAGTACTAAAACTTCCATCTTTACACTGTCTAAAAAGCAATCCTTAACATAATCTTTCACCTCCAGCCACTAAACGCTTCACCACCCTGCACCGGATTAATGCATAACGGCGCATACCAGGGCCGTATTTCATAAGAATTATCAATAATTGCATTGGCACGCGAGCGATGTACGAAAGTGCTTGGGTTGTAGGGTTGGTCGCGTTGTGGGGGGCTGATGGAATTGTCTTCAGTGTTTTGTGTAAGGCATTGGGAGGCTGACTGGGGTGGCTAATAGGCCAAATCTATTCCGTATCACATACTCTGTGGAAGTCTTCACGTAGAGAGTTGTTCAATTGATATGCTGGCTGGTTTGACGTAATATCAGTGATTGGATTAAATGTGGTGGATTTGATTGGTATTATGGCCATATTCGGGAGGATTAATACAAAGCCGTGTTTACTTCGTGGTTATTTCTATTAAGGATGCATGTATATCGTCTTAGGTGACTAAGTGACCAAATGAGAGTTCTAGATACTGGAAGCCATGTTACTATGAAATGCTTTTGTAAGTCATGATGTATCTGGAATGTCATTTTTCTTGAATCCATCTGTTCAAATTTTATTGCAGAGATCTTCAAGTATTCTACAGCTTGTGTGAAGAATTAGACAACAATGGCAGAACAAATGCAGTTAAAAGGGACTTTGAAAGGTCACAATGGATGGGTGACACAAATAGCTACAAATGCTCGTTACCCGAATATGATTATTTCGTCTTCTCGAGGTAGAAATTATTAGGATAGTTATACAAAATATTATTTACTTCGCTCCTATATTTCATGTCAAAGATTACTATAGTTCATCGAATTACTGGTGTCGCAACGGGTGATCAGTTTTCACTACAGTGTGTATTTTTGGAAGTTTCAAACTAGTTTTAAAAATGTAACGTAGAATATTCCTTTCTGCTGCAGAGTTGGTAGTTGTTACCCTAAGTCTGTTAGAAAAGGTATATGTAAAAATATATCTACATTAATGTCAGACTTTCCTGGAAGTGCATATTTCCACTTCCTGGCATGCATTTCCATTCTGTTCTATTATTTGAGCCTATTCTGTTTATTATTTATTCCAAGAAAAACTTGATAGCTTGCTGCCATTACGTAATGTATTGATTTCCACAACCAGAAGATGCTAAAAGTAATTTAATTGGGAAACTGGTGAAGAGTTACACCGGCAATTTTTCAGATAAAACAATAATTGTGTGGAAATTGGATGCGGATGATATGTCAGGAAATTATGGCGTTCAGTTAGGTGGAAAAGCTGAAAGAGCATTGAAGGGCCACGGTCACTTTGTTTCTGATGTTGTGATGTCTTCCGATGGACAGTTCGCTCTTTCTGGTTCATGGGACAAAACATTGCGACTCTGGGACCTCACTACGTAAGTCGAAATATTGTCTGTTGGTAAGAGTATGTCGATTCTGGCGAAATCCTCTGTCAGCATAATGTATTTTCTTTAAACAAAATTCTTCGAATCCAATTTTCAGAGGTGTAACATCAAGGCAGTTTGTTTCACATACAAAGGACGTATTATCTGTCGCATTCTCTGCTGACAATCGACAGATCGTGTCGGGATCACGGGATAAAACGATCAAACTGTGGAACACTTTAGCTCAGTGCAAATATACAGTTAGCGTGCGTATTTTGAAAATTGAAATTTGGACAGCGATTGCGAAAGTTTCAGATTTAGGACTGTGTTCTGTTTTGTAGATTTCATTCTTTTCTTCTCTTTCATCTCGTTCAATGTAACAAATAATAGTGATATCTTACTTTATCATTGTGCATTATAGATCGCTATTATTGTTACTTTTTTAGGAAGACTGCCACACTGATTGGGTTTCAAATGTACGTTTTTCACCTTCAAGTTCAAACCCTGTAATTGTTTCCGCCGGATGGGACAAAATTGTGAAGGTATGGAATCTTGCTAACTGTAAGCTGAAAACGAATCATATCGGACACACTGGATACATCAACACAGTTACTGTATCGCCGGATGGTTCACTTTGTGCTTCGGGCGGAAAGGTATGGTTATGTCGAAATTTTATACATGGGAAGTTGAATAGCACGACTTAATTTTGCAGTACTAGAAATAGGTTTATGCATGATGGATTTTGATTTTCATTATATATCTGGTGGCTTCTTATTTCACAGCGCTTTTTTTCAGGACGGTAACGCTATGTTGTGGGATTTAAATGAAGGAAAGCACTTGTATACTTTGGGTGGCAACGATGTTATCAATGCACTGGCATTCTCACCTAATCGCTACTGGCTTTGTGCTGCAGTTGGACCTGTGGTTAAAATTTGGGATTTGGAAGATAAGAAACCTGTAGATGAATTGAAGCTGGATGTTATGGGTGGGGCCAAATCTGCACCTCCACAATGTATTTCGTTAGCTTGGTCAGCTGATGGTCAAACACTTTATGCTGGATATACTGATAATGTAATTCGCATATGGCAGGTTTCTGTTGCCCAAATTCGATCATAATTTATGTAGTTGTTATATGTCAGGTAAAACCTACTTGTTATTTGTTCTGCAAAAGTGACATGTGAACATCTCTTATATTAAAGCATTGAATATATTTCACAGGTTTGCAAGTACGTTTTAAAACGTTCACTCTTTTTAACAATATTGGGAGGGAAAACCTCTTTCATTTACATACATGACCACTGTTTATGGAAAAATCAATAAGAGATTAATCATCAGTATTGTTAGTTCGTTGTTTATGAAAAAAGGTGTGCTTGAGGTTATTAAACCATACCTCAAATTTCTGGTACATATTCTGCTGGATAACAATAACAACGGATGTATAGATAATGGAAAACCGGCGCAAGTAAAATCCTGTGAAAGTTATGGACGGTGGAAAGATCAGTATGCTTAAAAATAAAGCTGCAAAGTGTTACGGGATTTATCCAGTAAATTAATGAATTTGTTATGATCTTTGATGTATTGGTTTGGGAGTGCGGAAACGTGATTACTAGTCGGTGTGTCAGTAATTTGCTGGGGTCAATTTTACGAAATGGTTCACTTTGAATTGTAGGTATTTCTTGGATTGTAGCTGAATTGGATTTATAGCGCTCAACATATGGAGGATGACTGGATGCACTGTGTGGACCGTCTCTTAAAGGCATGGACAGGATATCAGTTGGGGGTACAGATGCTTTCCGGTGGACCAGAAACATATCAAAAGGCTGAGTGGTTTGCTAAGGTGAAGTTTTACTTATTAATTTATTATGTTTAATTAGGTGTATAAAACCTGCTCGCGCACGTCGAGAAAGTTCATCTCAAGTAATGGATAGCTGTGGAAGGAAATTGGGCGCAACTCTGGGTTTAGCTTTCTGTGAATCCTGGTTGAGCATAACAAGGTTGTGAGTCAGATTACTTCAGGTTCTGGCCGAGTATACATCCAGCTCAGGGAATCTACAAGTTCATAACTTAAGTGAATGGATATGTGACATTTTGGATAACGAGTTTAATCTTATTCTAAAGGTTCGTTATTCTGCTTTGAATATATCCCTGAAATCAGAGACACTGTTTTGGAAGTTTCCTTACATTTTCGCCCCATTTGTTATCGACAACAGTAAAGATGTGAAGTGGTATTTTCTAATCCTTTTTCAGGATAACAGCATCGAGTGGCTTGCTTCATCTCTGCTAAAGTGTAGGTTGTGGTTGGAAAAATGTCAGAAACCAGAATTTGAAAATTTCCTATCCAAGTTGCCGTCCGAAAGTGCCGTACGAGCTGCTGCAATAGAAAGTGAGGTGGTAATGGACCACTCAGATGACGAAAACAGTGACTGTGAGAAATTTGAGAATAAGCCGCAAGACAAACAAACTAAAAGGTCATCGAGGAGACGCATGGAAACCGATGAAGATGGTTGGACTACAGTTATTCGTAGATAACTCACGGTTTTTGTTTTTGTCTAATAAAAACTTCGAAATTGATTTATAACATTTACATGTTTTAACTTTTATCTATAATAAATAGTTCATGGACACTGCGGACTATCATTTGAGAAATGTCAACATTTACAACATTAAATTTGAACTGACGTTTCTTAATAATGGGTACACTATACATATTGTATGTTCAGGAAACAAAAAGGCGCAACAAAGGAATGCAATAGAGCGCACCCATAAAAGCACCCGTAAATGCTCAGCTGCTCTTATGAAGTGCGCCTGCATGCTTAATTCGGGCAATATGTACAATAAATGACGTATATAAAATGAGGCAGTGTACAAATTTAAACAACCCGTGAGTAAATGAACAAAACATAGGCCAAACCAAGGTATCACTGGAACCCGATTTTAGCCGAATTGCATCGATCCTGAAATTTGTCCGGTCAAATTAAGGATAAGGACGTTTGAAATGATTTTGAATGATGGGGTCTTTACCGCCTTTACCACTACCACGATCCCTTGGTACTACGAGAGTATATGGAATTGTAGAGGAAACCGACTCTTTTAATTCTGATTCTATTTTGAGCATTTTGACATTTTATTTTGAAAAGGGAGTTATAACGAGGTCGTCTTTTGAACTTCGAAGCAGATAACGAACAGATTAAATTCCGTGATGCACTACATCCAAAAAAAGAAAATTTATCCAACTCTTGGTTTATTTCCAGCAAGAATTCAAGTATTGTGTGTAGACAGAAAACATTTAAATGAAAGCTTCCTCCACTAGGCTCAATCAGAGTCTAAAATACTATTTTTTAAGAATCTCATTCAACACAAGTCGACAATACTTAAATTCAATACAAGTCGCTCACTTTAAAAGAGCTTGCTTGATCACTTATTTCACTTAGTGCCGTTCGTATTCATATCTTGCTTTTTTATTAACAAAAACAAGCTGTAATTATTTATAGGTTAAACAAATATAACATACCGAGATTTTGACCATGTTGAAAAATAAATACACCATTGACAATGACAGGAACTGCGTAGAGACAAATATTGTACACTAACAGTTCTCTTTGTACACCACTTTATAATCCTCCTGCAGAAAAAAAAATTGAAATTTGCAAAATCTTGAACAATCTAGGTAGGTTATATATAAAGCAATAAAAACAGAAAAATTCACCGTTTATGCGAGGCGCATATAAACTTGTCACAGAACTACTTTCGGCATTTAGATCCACTGGTTGCACATCGGAGGTTGTGGTTACAGTTGAATGGTGCTGAGAAGTTGAGGGAACACGACGAACTGGCAATGGAGTATTCCGTAAGCGGACACCTTTTGAAGACAACAAAGGAGACTGAAGCGGGCTTATAGGGATCAAATTCCCACTGCAACCTTGCTTCAAACGTGAGTTCTGAGCTAATGAAAGCATTTTTTGTACTGCATGTGGTGACTCTACACCTGCAATGAAATAACAGCGTTATTTCCAAATGCAAACTGGGAAACTGCTTTTAACTGAAAGCTACCAAATTTTGGAGCCGATATCCTATGCTGGTCAGAAGTACTCGACTGGCTCGATAAGCTCGAAGGTGATGGTGATGGAGCTCTACGTCGTATTACGCTTGCGCTACCGTAGGAAGGTTCACATTCGTATGAAAGCTGATCCAAATCCGTCTCGCATTCAACGACATTTAAATTTGACAGATAGGATTTAACTTTCCGAACCATTAAAGCTTGTTCGTATAACTTGCGACGTGGCTGTGTTGCAGTTTTCACTGAAAATCTTTTTGAAAAGGATATGTACTGTTCTGCAAAATTCTGCATCAAGCATAGAAAATTTTCAAAAAAAAAAAAAAAAAAAAAAAAAAAACAATAAAAACTGTAAATAAACTAACTAGCATTTGGTCCCACTTTTCTCATTGTAGCGACTGTTCCGGCGCCGCCGTCAAAACTATTCATGTTAACTAACGCATCGCTAACATCATTTCCACCACTCTTTAAATTTAATCACAATTATGTTTCGTTGTTTAAAGTAATTGTCTTTATAAGAATTCTACTTATCTGAGAAATGGCATGATGATTAACATTCCCCGAGAGATCTATGTCCACTGAGCCTAATATGAAAGTTGCACAACAGCCGAAGGACGATATATGTATCGATCAAGTAGCTCTCGTTGTGAGAACTTTACAATGAATTTTTAAATAATAAATGAAAACACTATCACAAACCATACTTGCTGAGCCATAACGCCAATTTCATAGGGAGAACTGCACAGTTTGGTAACTGAACGAATAGTCTTTGCAATCATCCGTAATTTTTCGAAATTGATTAACTTTTCACAATATGTCGGATTACCCTCATGTGAAAATGTCAAGTCTTTCTTGAGCACTGGATATATGGGAACAACAGGTGGTTCCTGCGAAACAACAGCAAGATGCTGACGATATTTCGACATGTTTCTCGACGGATCTACCAAATGTTGCACATCCTCGAACATTTTTGTATATTTACTGGAAAAACAAAACTTTAAAATTCTCCAACAAAAAATATACGCTTAACAAACCTTGGAACACGTTCCCAAGTATGATGAAGTCTTCGGACAGCAGGCTTTTCCAAGCCGCTCATAATCGCAAACATCGAATTGAAGTTCCTGAAGTCTCGGCAATATCGAGCTACTTTAATAAACTTCTTTATCAGCTTCATTCTTTTTTGTAAACCTTTCTCGCGACATATTTCTGTTGCAACCCACCACATTTCCTGAAATGACATCCCTACTTCAGAATAAAAATTGAGAAGTCAGTACCAAAATAAAGAATTTTTTCTGCCATGATTATCTACAGTCATGTAAATATGACAAGCTCAACAGGAATCACTGAAATTCGAATGGTAGTAACATTTATAATACGACAGTACACCTCACTAAAGAAAGCAATAATCAATACTTTACAATAGCAACATGGTTGAAAGTCCTATACCTTATTAAATAAAGATTCAAAATCAGCCAACTTTGGCCAACCATACTTTGATTCCAAATTGAATAAGTTATCTACATATTCTGTGGGTTCAATGGACGAAAATACATCGAAATCCTGCAATGCAGTGGAAATTAGCAACAATCAGTTTATAAAATGAAGATAATGAACCAACAAAGATTTTTATAATACAAGAAATTTGCACTTGTAAAGTAAGCTGAGCGGCAAGTATTTGGGCATTTAACTGAAGCAGATGAGTCTCTGCTTCCTTCAGAACTTCGGGAGCCAATTCATCAGGTACCATCGGTTCTGATCTGAAATCCTATTCTTAGTTAACGCTTGAAGTGTAGTCAGTTAAATATTTTGTCAAATTAAAATCTCATCTGACTGACAACTAAATTCGTTTTTACAATTGGAGTGCCAACCTATGAATAAGAAAACCACACTTTCTACTACTACTACCTTGAGAAAACTATTATAGCCTGCCTAGATATAAGTAATTGAAATTTTTTTAGTTCAAACTACACCATTTTTATCTATGATGGATACTTCTAAAATAAAAACGAAACGAAGAATAATGTTTTATTTTTGAACTCCTACAAACATTCACCGACTGTTGTTTTTTAAATAATAACGACTATTAAGCTGAATTCGCTCAGCAAGGTTGTTCATTTGATCTGGAAGTCGCTTCTGTTTGATCACTCCATCAAGTGTCACAGTTGTCTCACACAGTGCCCATTCGAGACTTCCACTATCAGAACTCATACCAAATTCCTGAGAAAAAGTTAAAAAAGCAGTCTGGATGCACATAAGACTAGTTTAAAAAGAAAAAGAAAACCTGTAGAGCTAGCTGAACTACATTTTGAGCAGTTGTTTCTTTGTAAATAGTGAGATATTTGAAAGATTGATCCGCTCGGTACACTTTCAAAACATGTTCCGGACACGGACTAGCAGGTTGATAATATTGTGCAATATTCATTGTTGAGATTCGTGATGCGCCTACAGAATGACCAGCAATGTCAGGATTTGAACGACTTGCACGAAGAGAATTCGATCGTGTCGGATTTAGCTGAAAATATTTCAAAAATGAATTTTTATCAAAGCGTAACTGAATAGCCTATATAAGGTAAATAGTGACCAGCAGTATCAAAAAAGTGCATGCCTTATGAGACTAAAATACAATAAAATCCATTGCTGTGTCGATTCGAATCACTCAAAGTTTAATCCGAAAGTGTATTAAAAGAGATGAACAGGTGTTTCTTTCTAAAGAAGGTTATATGAAAGTTTCTAATGTGCAAACAGACACCACCGCCAATAATATATTATATCCAATGATGTTGGTGGAACTGGAACAAAAATGTGCTGATAAAAAACGTAATTTAACATCTATATTTGATTTCATTCAAATATGACTGAAATGATGTGTCATTAAAATATTTTTTTAAAATGTACTGTTTTGGATTCTGCAACAGGCGCATCTGGCAAGGTACTCGGCAAGCCTTTTAACATTGCCAGCAGTTTATCCATCATCGAAGTTTTGTTTCCAATACTACTTGTCATACCACTCGGCGGCAAGTATGAAAAACTGGAAGCACCCGTTCGGGGATTCATTCCTACCATACATGACATAGATCCTCTCTGTACATTTTCACTTTGCTGCAAAAATTGTTAATTGTGAATCTATACTTCACTAAACAACAAGCAATCACGCTTGCTTCTCTAAACATTTCCTTTAAAAGGATCATCCCAAGTTACTTCTGCACAAAACCATAAAAGACGAAATGCAAAACATTTGTTGGTAGATTTTATCAACTACTATCAATTTATGCTATCATAGAACCTTTAATAAACAACCTTCGAAACTGCTCTGTGTTTTGTGTAGCGAATTTCCGGTCCTTTACGATACGCATTACACTGATCTTCAACATCAACTGCACGTTCTGACCGAGCAATCATTTCTTTGAAGCCCAAAAGATTTGATTTGACTGTTATAGACAAGTGAGTGTTGCTACGCAAAACTTCTAAAGCTCGG